CCCCTTGACATGATTTTGGGTCCAAGGCTGGGTGAAGCAGCACTTACTGATGTGTGCTGCTCCCTTGACATGGTTTTGGGCCCATGGCTGGGGGAAGCAGCACTTATTTGTGTATGCTGCTCTTCCTCGACATGGTTTTGGGCGCATGGCTTGGCGAAGGAACACTTTTTTATACATGTATGGTATTTTTAATGTTAATTTTTTGATAGGAGTTTTCGGGATTGATTTCTATTTAATCTTTTTATAAGTGATATCATTTGATCTAATTTGTAAGTTGATAGGAACAAACATTTCATATGCCACAGAAGTAAATTCATTTAAGGAATGGGTGACCGATACTATACTTGGTTTGAAGGGCCACCCACAGTTTCCGACTTGGTCACTGTAGGAAGCAGTGACCAGTTATGTGTGTGTTGCCCCCTTGACATGATTTTGGGTCCAAGGCTGGGTGAAGCAGCACTTACTAATGTGTGCTGCTCCCTTGACATGGTTTTGGGCCCATGGCTGGATGAAGCAGCACTTATTGTGTGCTGCTCTCTCTCAACATGGTTTTGGGCGCATGGCTCGCGAAGGAACGCTTTTTTATACATGTATGGTATTTTTAATGTTAATTTTTTGATAGGAGTTTTCGGGATTGATTTCTATTTAATCTTTTTATAAGTGATATCATTTGATCTAATTTGTAAGTTGATAGGAACAAACATTTCATATGCCACAGAAGTAAATTCATTTAAGGAATGGGTGATCGACACTATACTTGGTTTGGAGGAGATCCCGCAGTTTCCAACGTTATTATGCGTAGATGGGTTGTCTACGCAGACGGAGTACTCCAAGCCCGTCTTGTTTTTGTATTTTTTTAAATTGATATTTTTTATTTGGAATGTAAATAATTGTTGTAATTAGTTTTTACTTTGAAATTATTAATTAATAACTTGTATTAATGAATGACTCTGTAATGTTGTAATATTCTTATATTAAAAAACAGCTTATTGTTCTGTATATGTCCCTAATATTTCTGCGCCATTATTTTGTAAATTTCCGTAGTAAAGCTAATTAATTCCATCTCGTTCTTTGACATATTCCTCATGAAATAATACATATTAGTCTCCCCGACTTTTGTGGTTCCAATCGCGCATTCATCCATCCCAAAAGGAAAACTAAACTATATGATAATGAAGAAGTCTTGAATTAGCACTGTCAAACGCCAATATTAGTCTCTACTTTTGTGTTCAGATACAATGACTATGCAGTACACATGAATTGTCAGGATTTGTAGTCAGCAACTAGCTAATAATTTTACTCAGCCAATGAAATATGACTGAAAAGCTAACTGTTTCTTTGAAGCACTTTACAAGGGAAAAGTACTAAGTACTGATTTCAAAATCACTGTGTGCTAGCATTTCATACGGAAGGTACGTTTGAATATAGTAAGTGTAACATCAGCTGTAATACCAAAGGCAAAGGTACTGGAAATTATAAATTAGAAGAACTGACCGCGAGATATCTTGCATGATTAAGGACAAATCACAGACAGAATAGCATTTCTTTAGTCATCACAATAATATAAAA